CCCCCCAGGTCCCGCCCATGTGGACCCTGACCCCCAGGTGCAGCCCACGTGGACACTGAGCCCCAGGTGCAGCCCCATGTGGACACTGAAGCCCAGGTGCAGCCCATGTGGACACTGAACCCCAGGTGCAGCCCCATGTGGACACTGAAGCCCAGGTGCAGCCCCAGCGGAGTCCACGTGTCCAATCGTGGCCCACGAGGTGCCAACCACGTGGGGCCTGTCCCAGACCTGGACAGAAGGAAAGGCCACCAGCAGTGAGGTGCCAGGGCCCTCCCCACCCTCCCCACATGGCCACGCCAGGCCTGGAGCACAGGTGGTGAGGGCTGGTGGAGGCTTCTTCTGTAGGTCCTGCGAGTGCTCGGCGAGGGTGCTGTGGGTGCCAGTGCGGTGTGGGGGCACTGTAGAGCCAGTGCCCAGCAGCACGCAGTACCTGCTGCCTTGACCCCAGGGTACCATGCGGTGACACCCCAGGCTGGACGCCTCCCCACCCTTTCAGCTGCCAATGTCAGGACACACCCCCAGGCCCTGGGTTGTCAGGGGGTGTGAGTGGCCAGTACCGCAACCCCTCAGGGACACCGTGGCTGAGCAGGGACCTTACCTTACCTTTACTCCACCAGCTTGAAGCCCCCACCTCTCAAACTGCTGGGTCACATCCAAGACCCTGCTGGACCCCATACGACTTCAGGGTGACCAGGGTCCACTCCCAGGTCCAGGAGTGTCTTCTGTTAGAGGAGGGTGGGTCAGGGGATGAGCAGAAGGCATAATGGTTACGTTGCTGGACTCCCACATAGTCAACCGTGGTTCAATCCCTGGACCCCAGTGGCTTGAAACTCACACTGGGCACATGTATGTGCATACCCAGGGTTTTGAGAGGAGAAGGGATTGTGGTGTGGCTATTCCCCTGGGGGGTGATTTCTCATTTTCTTTCTTTCTTTTTTTTTGGAAGGGTTTTTGCTATAGGGCGCGTGTACTCCCCAGAGAGACAGAGAGACAGAAAGCAAGAAATCACCCCCCAGGGGGTTGGCCACACTGCAACCCCTTCTCCTCCATTCTCCTCTCAGGATCTTGGGCACGCACGCACACCAGCCTGGTGTGAGTTTAAGCACTGGGTCCAGGACTCGAACTGCGGTTGACTATGTGGGAGTCTAGCGACATAGCCATTACGCCAACTGCTGGTCCCTAAAATAAATTTATTTTAAAAATTATTTTTAAGAGGTTTTTGCCTTTTGAGGACCAGCAGGTGGTGTGGTGGTTAAGGTTCTGGACATTCCCATATGGCCAACCATGGTTCAAGTCCTGGACCTGGTGTCTTGC